TTCGATAATTTTAGAGACAACGTCTTCTTCGTTCCTGTATACCGCAAAGAAGCGTTGCGGGGGACAGTGTGTTCTGTTCGCGAAGTTGTACGAGAGAGCTCGAATTCTCCAAGGTTCATCTCCCAGTTGGTGCTATTTGCCAATGGTTTTCAACTTAGCTGCTGCCACAACCTCAGTCTTTGTGCTCAAATTAATAATAAAAGGAAGAAGGTATGGATAAGTAGATTGTATAAATTTTACCGTTGAACTGATATTTTTTAAGCAGTGATACCAACTGACAAATATATAATTTTCAAAGGTGTTTTTAGTTAATTAATATATAGAAATGATTGATTATTTTGCAATTATTATCTTCATTGTTTGTCTTCAGTACATGTAAAAATGTATTATTTTATTCTATCCTACGTCATGGAGATATTTGAAGATGGTTTTCCTCTTTTGTTATTCAGTTTTTTTGGTTGGTATTAGTTTAGTGTTTGGTGTCAGTGATAGTTTAATTTTTTTTGTTGCTGATATTTAGATGCATGGTGATATAATTGAATTGTTTTCTGGTTTGAAAAGTTTTTAAAAAAGATCAGCTTTTGGCCCCTAGGCTGCAGCCTTTGATAATTGATATGTAACACACAAGTGTATGAGTATACTTATAGAATATAAATATATATTCATAGAATGTACAATTATAGATTTAACATAATAATGAGAGATGTGCTTAGAGGTGATAACTCAAAACAAACAAACAAACAAACAAAAATCACTGATTGCATGAGCCCTACGGGTTTGTGCACTCTTCTTGGTCTTTGAGTATCTTGGTCTTGGTACTGGTCTTAACAGTATCAAGTATTTGATATATTATATGAAATTGCACTCTAACCATGCGATTACCCATATTTGCTGTAGATTCTTCTATCGTATTTTAATAAACTTTTTTGGCTCTGAAATACAGCGATTGCTTTGTAAAAACTGTTAGTGTCTCATGTTGAACCAAATCTGAGTTTTAAGTAAATGTGCAGTGGTATGTTTTGGGTATTTTTCTTCCTTTCAGATCTTGTCCAAATTAATATAGCATTTACCCTTTAACTCCCATGAGTGACCAAGACAGAATTTCTCCATACAACATCAAAGCATTATAAACCAGATAAGTCATGAGAAAAAAGAAAAATGTCAATTTGTGAGTAATTAGTTGATCCTATACAGAATTCTCTGAACAAACATTATAAGAATTGTGTGATTGACAGTAGCAGAATTACAAATTTAAAGGGTTAACAGGGCTGTTTTCTTTTCAGGTCACGCAGCAGAGATTTGAGAGTTCTTGGTCTAGGGTCACTTTCTGCATTTCTTGTTTTGCTATCATCTTGGATTATTTCTTCTGGATTTCGTGAATTTTGCAAGTCATTCGTCATTAATAAGTAAGTGAACACTTTTTTTTGGGTCAAACATAGTGAAGAGGGGGTTCATGCTAGTTATAAAAAATCTAGAAAGTCAAGGAGAGTGTTAGAAAATAAAATTAATAAAAATAAATGAAGAAATGAAACCTTTATTACACTTTATTACACTATTATGACATAATTAAGCAACTTCTTGATAATAGTCACAAGGAACATCAATAAGGTCATGGTAAAAGTCACTAGTATTATTACATTCAGGAGGATTCCTCACTTCACTAAACACTGTAAATACTTTCTGTTATTAATTTTGTCACTGATCCACACTGAAATGGCCTTTACTGGTAGAAACAACTGTAGGTCTTCAAAAATTGCTTCATTGTGGGTAGAGTTATCTCATGATGCATTGTTACATTTAATTAAGAATTCCTTGTTTCTAGTGTGAAAAAGTTAACAGTAATTTAGAAAAAAGGCCACATTGAGGCCTTATTTTCACTAACTGCTCAACCCTTTAGCATTCATGAGTGACCAAGACAGAATTTCTCCTAACAAAATCAATACAATATTGACCAGATAAGTGATGAGATTAAAGAAAAATATCAATTTGGGGATAATTGGTTGATCCAATACTAAATTCTCTGAACTAACATTAATAAGAATTGTATGGTTGACAGTAAGGAGAACTACAAATTTGATCTGGAAGTTAAAGGCTTAAGCAGTGTTCATTACTGCAAAGATCTCTCTCATAGTCAAAGGCTGTATTATAGCTAGAGGGCCCGTTATATTCCTTTGTGAAACACAGTCACATAAAAATATTTAGCCTTTTCACACATCATGATTAATATCAAAAATTATATCGCATTCACACAAAATTTTGTAACATTTTACATAAAAATAAAAAACTAAATTCATGAATTAATTTTGTACTTTTTCTGGTCTTGATCAGTCTAAAGTGACAAATGATGACACAAGGTCTTATCTTATTTGTTCAAGGACCATTAGCTGTCTGGTTTATGACTTTTGTCGATCCAAATGAAGTTCATGTCCTGTCCAACTTAACCGCAAGAGAACGATACATTTTGCAGAACCATTTAAAAGCTGTTCATTCATCATGCAAAGCAAAATGGTTCACAAATCGCGTTTAATTTAGTTCTTCATTCAAGAGTCTTGTTTAAATAGAAAAATCAGTTCATGTGGACATGAAAAGATCTGTTATCTTTGATTAATCATTATAAGGAAAAAAATCAACAGATGAATCAAGAGAAAAAAAAAAAACACCCAATCACACTCTGTGTAAAAAGTACAGGGGACCCTCTTGCTAATTTTTTCAGCATCTCTTGAAACCTAGTGTGAAGGAAAAGCAGAATATGGTAAAAACACACATTGTTTACATGCAAGGTTCTTAACCCTAATCAGCCTGTAACATCAGTATGCATATTCTCTGTACTGTTCTCTGTACATTTCCTGAGGTGCTGACAAGGAGAATTAGTTTAACAATCAAAGCTTCTTTACCTGGTGACTATTTCCTTAATGGGTGTTTCATGGGTGATATTGTATGGAGAAATTAGATGTTAGTCACTCTCAGGGGTATAAGGGCTAAGTTAGGATGGGTGAGAAAAATATCAACACCATGGTGTGGATGAACATTTATTGCTCTCTCTTATTTGAGGGAAGAATGCAAGTTTTAGGCATTGAGAAATACATACTGATTTCCATGCAAATTACTCTTATTGACCATTCATAATTCTTGTAATCATATAACATGGGTTTAATTTCTAGATTATTTATTTAAAATAACTGTTTCTGTGTCATCTTTGTAGATGCATTCATGCACATATAAAGGCAATGGATTGGAAAAATTTCACCCCCAAGTACACTGATGGTGGCAATTTATATTTCATCTTACAATTAGCAGAGGTAAGCATTACATTTTGGTCCTGCCTTCTTAGAGAAGTCTCCTAATTGGTTAGATATCAGGGAATTCTATGATAATCATAGAACTCCCATAGTTAATTTTGATTCGACGGCCTAGTGGTCAGTGTGCTGGACTCCAGGTTGAAAGATCTGGGTTTGAGACCTGGCCAGGTCATAGATTTCTTTCTCGCAATGTGTCTCTCCATCTCGCCATATAGATGGGTTCCTAATAAAATGCTGGTGGGTACCTTATGATGAACTGGTATCCTATTGAAGAGGAAGAAGTACATGTAACACTGTACTTACCTGTGTATCGTGTGCACCTGTACTCCCAATTGCTTCTTGTTTTGGGACTGAGATAAACTCTTACTGGATGAGCCAGTTGGCTTGAGTACAGACTTTCCCTATGACCGTTTCTATTGAGATGTGAAACATATTCACGGGTATAGCATAAGACATATTTACCAGAGACAATACAATGTAGTTGTACAGTTCCGGGGCTTTTTCACATGAGGGTGACCATTGTTAAGTGTCAATTCATAGTTTATCTGATTGGAACCCTAAGAATCAATTTATCTTTATTTTCCAATGTCTTTTGGTGTAAAAATTAGAGGGGGAAAATAAAATAAATTAGAGGTATAGAAAAATAAATATCCAGTTCAAATGGCTTGAATTACAAGCTTCATCAATTTTGATCTAATTTTGATTGTGTTTGTGTTTTTTTTTATTAGGCATCTGGCTGGTCTGCCTGTCTACTCCTATGTGTTCTTTGTGTGACTCGTGCTCGAAAATTGTTTGCAGGACTCCACACAACTAAAAACTTAAATTTTTATGATGAATAGTCTTTTACAAAGGAGTATATCTCAAAATGAAAAACTCAAGCTAAAACTTCAGAATGTTGTACATGTATCTCCTTTGATAAATGGTAAAAATTGTAGGCACCATAGCAACATGTCTTATTTCCTATATTAGGTTAATAGAAGGTAGATTATAGTCCAATGCACCCCTGAACAGTTTCATTGTTTCATTGTTTATTGTTTTTTTATTTTATTTTTGAAGGTTCTTCAAAAATAAAAAAAATGTGATAGTAGATTTAAAAGAAATCTTTAAATATATAACATAACTTATTTCTTCAAAAGGTCTAGGTAGCAGCAGAAATGTATCAAATTTAAGAAAATATACTACTTCTTTTAAAAATCAATTTTGATCTAATTTTGATTGTGTCTAAACATGTTTTTAAAAAATGTTGTATATTTTCTTAAAGAAAGAAGAGAGAAAGTCATGGTTACTAGCTAGCTAGTCTAGGCTGATTTAACTCCCAAGGTCTCATTAGTAATTCTCCTCACTGCCTGCTTAAAGTTCTTGTGATGTTAGTTTGGAGAATTTGGTATTGGATCAATTTATAATTCCCTAATTGATATATTTCTTCATTCTCATCACTTGTCAGCATGATATTGTATTGATTTTGTAAGGAGAAATTCTGTCTTGGTCACTTATGGGAGTTTAAGGATTAGGAGAATTTGCTGTTACATTGTTACTCTTAAACTGTTATTTTTTGCTCATCTTTAAGCGAAATATGGTGAATTTCACCCATAGCATTTAACAAAGGTTAATAAAGAAATACACTATATAAAAGTTTGGTCAAGTCCAAGTTTGATAGCAGTAAGTTTGCGAGAACTATTGAATGAGACTAGTTTTGCAAGTTTTCGTTTAAGGTTATTTGATCATAGTCAATTATATTCATATTATACGGAACAGAGGTTTCGTTGAAACATTTAAAATGAAATTGAAACATGTCAGTGAAAGAAGTAGAGACTCTGCAAAACACGCCTGGTGCGGTTAAGTACGGAGCCATTAGAATCCAGTCTCTCTCTTTCGTCCCAATCATGAGTCGATATGGCGTGCCGGTGAGATCACCAGAAAGTTACGTCGGTATTTTCACGGAAATATGGTGTTAAACTTCACAGGATTTTCCAGTCTCAAGTATCAGTTTCATATTAGTGAAGCTATTCTCTTGATCTTGTCGATGCTTTTGGGTATATTTTCTTGTCTGCGGCTGAATGAAGTTACTAAGTTGTGCGCTGGACAATGCATGTTATTCGCGAAGTTGTACGAACGAGCTCGAATTCTACAAGGTTCTTCCCCAGGGTGGTGCTATTTGCCGGCCTGTTTGCACTTAGCAGCAGGGTTATGCTCATTGGTTGTGCTCAGCTTCGTTAGAGGGGGAAGATATAGGTGAGTATGTTGTTCAAATTAACCTTTCGGCAATGATTCGGATCCCTGTGCTTGCGCAAAGATTTCTGGGATCGCTATGGGGCAAACGAAGGAAATATTTGGCAAAAGGTAGTTTCTACGTCCAAAATAATAAATTTTAAGAGAGGTAAGTGCCTATTTGCTGCCTTTTTATCAGAATTAACATAATTTTGAGATGAGGGAAGATCAAGTTTTTGTTTGAACAACCACAAAATGTAATATATGTTGTACTAGCCTGCAGCAAAAATTATGACCGGCATCTTTGATTTTGATTGCAGTGAAAGGCTGGGGAGAGAAAGAAATCTGTACAAAGTGGGTGAGGGACAGTTAAAAACAAGGATAGGGGTGGGAGTGGGGGTGTGAATATTCTCTTTGCCTTTCCCCACCCCTTTCCCCCATGGGCAACTCTAACTCCAAATCAAACATGGCCTTTTGAAGAAATGATTACAAGTGTCTCAATGTTGACTCCCCTTAATGAGATGCCTGCACTGCAGGCTAAAATTATACAAATAAACTTTTCTCCTTGCAAAAGGATTATTGTGAAACTGTTTTAATGCTCTCACCATGTATTACACTTTAGCAACTTGCAATGTTTGCCCTGTGGCGATCCCAAAAGTCTTTGCAAAAACAAACATTACAGGCAACTTATTCATTAGCTTGACACACATTTTTGTGGTTAATTGCACCAGTTATGGGGGATATGGAACCATTTGCTGGGGGGGGGGGGGGGGTCACTGATTGGGGAGACAAAACATATACATACAGTGAAATCTCAATAACTCAAACCTTCAAGGGAAATTGATAAATGTTCGAGTTATCAGAAGTTGAAAACAAAAACGACTAAAAATAAGGCAAAAGCAGTGTTTACTGTCAGTATTGATTGACATGCTTCAAAGTGGTTTGAGTTGTTGAGGGTAAAAATATATAGAGAATGGCCTGAAGGAAAACAAATTGCTTCATGTTAGCAGGAAGTTTGAGTTAAGCCCCATTCAAACAGTCATGATAATTGATAATAATTGTCACAAGTTTCATCTTTCATTCACTACCATCAAGTATCATGTTGAATTTGTACATATCCTAACTACATGATAATTGATGATCATGGATGATAGTGCATGAGAGTTTGTGTTCAAACACAAGTGATAGTTGAAAGTATCATAAACTATCATGACCATTTGAACTGGGGATTGAGTTGATTAAAACCTTAATTTTGCCAGATTTTAAGCCCCTCTCTCCTCCTCCTCCCCTACATCTTGAGAGTACCCCAAATGCAATTTAGCTATATTTTCCCCCTCTTCCTGAATTACATACTTATTGTAACTTACAAATGATTACATAGGATATGTGTGTTTAACCAAAAGAAAAGTTGTAAACAAATCAGAGTCCTCTTTCCTCAGGTCACAGAGCAATTGTTCAAGAGTTCTTGGTCTCATATCTGTATCTGCTTTTCTCGCATTTCTATCCTCTTGGATTATTTCTTCTGGATTTCGAGAATTTTGCAAGTCCTTTGTCATAAACAGGTTAGTGAACATTCTTGCATGCTATACTATTATTAGCTCTTTCACTACCAAGATTTGAACTATAGGTTATTTTAACTGAAGGTTATACATTTATTGATACTATTTTCGTTAAAACCAGGTAGCTGCAATCTGAACTAATCATTTTCACCTTGTCCGACTTGCAGATGCAGTGCAGAACATTTTAGCTCAATGGATTGGAAAAATTTCACCCCAAAGTATTGTTATTGTTCAAATTCATATAGGTTACTACAAAAAATTGAGGTAGGTTTAAGACTTGAACCAGGTCAAATGTAATCTCTTAGATTCCTTGGTCAGTTATTATCCTTATAAAGTTATTACTTGTAGTTGGGACTCCAATGGCAGGGGGGTCTGCACTACATCCCTTTGAAGTTCTTGTTTCTCATGATTATTGTTATGGCTTGATCATTTGGATACTTGTGACTGACCTTGCAGATACTGCATGTTTCAGATTATCCAGCTTCTAAGCAGATACATGGTTACCATTGTCAGAAACTGTAGCCGGTAGTTTCATTGTTGTTGCATTACGCTAAGAGACGGGAAACTTGTGACAAGGATCTTTGATCATGTTCATATTCCATGTGATTGCAGAGAAATGTTTCTCTAGATTATTAAAAGGGTGATTTGGTAGGATAGGTGTGTTAGTGGAATTTTTGACAACCATGATCATAATCTAAAGGGGACACTCCACAATGCATTTATATCAGGAAATTTTTACACGAAGTAAAAAGCTGCCTTTTGCAGGGACAAAGTAACTGTGTGCAAATTGAAAATTCAAGATATCTTAATTGTTTTTAAGTTTTGTTATTTTCAGTGTGTGTATTTGTCTCTGTGCTAGAGTGGGTGTTTAGGGAAGGGATCATACTGTTTCATGCTTCCATGTTACAATATATTTTTAAATACTTTGAATTCTTCTTCCTGGTTTCTTATATACCTGTATTTCTCTTCTTTTCAGGGTTCCAGTTGGTGTGCCTGTTTGTTATTGTCTGTCTTATGTGTGACTCATTTTGTGCGATTGTGGGCTGGGCTGCAAATTACTTCAACACCTTGATAGATGATTCAGTTTAACTGACTTCTTCCGCTGACCTCTCCATGAGGATCATTTTGACACCTGGCTAACTCAGTGCTGACAGATTTTCCCTTGACCCTCTTACTCCCAAGATCCAATTAGTATTTCTCCTTAGTGTTTTTGACATTCTTATGATGATACATTGTAGTTCGGAGAATTTGATATTGGATCAAATAATGACTCCCTAATTGATATTTTCTTCTCGTCTATTACCTGATTGATACTGTAAGGAGAAATTCTGTCTTGGTCACATTTGGGAGATATAGGGTTAACCCTTTAACTCCCAAAATCTGATTGTTAATTCTCCCCTGTAGCTGCTACACATTTCCTTGTAAATTAGTTATGAGAACTTGGTGCTAGATCAAGACAGTGGCTTCTACCTGATAATTTTGAATATTCTCATCACCTGTTTGCTGAAGAATGTATGGATATTGTAGGGAGAAGTTTTATGTTAATCACTTCTGGGAGTTAAAGGGTTAAGTGTGTTTTGTTGTTACATGTACAAATACCAGCTCAAGAGTGTTATCCTCTAAATCAGAATAGACTTCAACTTAGTTACATAGAATAGAAAAATAACAGTAGGAGTTCATACAAAATTATTCTAGAATTAATAGTGTGATGCATGTAGGCTCTAATGAGACTCTGCCCGTTGAATAGCTGGTGGTTTATGAAAAGAAGGGAATTAATTTCATTGTTTGGTGTCCTGATATTTACCCTTTAACTCTCAGATCAAATTTGTAATTCTTCTCACCATCAACCATACAATTCTTATAATGTTAGTTCAGAGAATTTAGTATTGAATCAACTAATTTTCACCAAATTGGTATTTTTCTTTATTCTCATCACTTATTTAGTTGATATTGTAAGGAGAAAGTCTGTCTTGGTCACTCATGGGAGTTAAAGGGTTAAAGGATATTAGTATTTTATTTCATACTGAATAATTTAACAAACATAACTCACTGATGGTTTCTCTCAATAACTTATAATAACTATTTATTCAATCTCTCTATGCCCATTAAGATAGGCAGTAAATAACCAAAAAAATCAGTCAATGTTTTGATGATGAAAGTGACAAAACCATGCAGTAGGCTACACAGTTTTCCACATACACTGGAGTGACACCAATTGAAACTAAATAGAAACCAATTTTAAGAATTTAAGCTGCTGTGAAACTTAGAAACAGTATAGATATATGTACCAGAAGGTCAATATTAAGAATGTTAATTAAGCTATAGAACACGCTTTCTGTTGTCGACTCCAGTTCCCAACATCCTGTCACGGTTGTAGGCTGGTTAACTGATAGAAAGTTTTGTCTAATGCTCTTTTATAAAACAACTTTGGGTTAACCATTACGACAAAAGGTAATATCTCAGTTATTTTATTAAGTTTTTCAAGTCTTACAGTATAAAGCCTTTTATGCTATGGAATATTAATTTTTTTGATATTTGCAATCTGATGTTCCTTAAGATGATGACTCTGGACACTGTGGGAGACTTTTTACATTATTTCATCATTATTTATTTCAAATGAAAAACTTCTCATTTGGTTTTCTGAAGCTATAAATTTCTATATTATTAATGTAGCAAAACATTTCTGAATATTTGCAAACTAAGAAGTACTAATTTAAAGATATCTTGATCCCCTGTCACTTGTAACCTCATAAAATGGAATTTCTTGGATGGGTGATGAGTATGTCATTCTCTCATCAGTAAGGTAATACTCAGAAGCTTTCATCTCAAATAAGCTTTTCTTGAAATTTCTACCAGAGAACACTGTTATGATAAACCAAATCCCTAAAGCAGAGTATGATGCAACCTGGTGTAAAAAAAAATGAAAATGCGTGTATTAAAATTGTTATATTGAGACTTTTTGTCTAATAGCTGAAATTTTTTCCCCAAACGTTCACCCTTTCATTGTTTACTTTGAGGTCACACGACATTTAACAACGAAACTATTTTCAGGCAGGTCTCTGAGCAACTAACATTGCAAAATGTTTTTAAGCCAGTGGCATGGGTACCTGTGCTGTGTTACCTGTGAACATTGACTGTTGCAGGTGAACAAAACATGACCAAAATTGGTGTGAAATGGTGTTAAACTAAGGTTGACCGCCATGTAAGTTCTCCTCACAGCAATACTGCTCATTAGCATCTTCTATCAACATTGTGAGAATATAGAAAATGGTTGCCAATCCAAGAAGCTTTGATTACAAGACAATTTCTCCTTGTCAGTACCAAAAGAAGTGTATAGAGGGAGTATAGAGAATATGGATATTGATGTTAGGGTGTAAAGGGTTAATTGAAATTTAAGTAATGTATTCCTTGTGCTGTATTACAAATCACTTGATGACTAGGCTCTCAAAACAATTTTATTTTCCTAAAAATTTCAATATTTCCTGAGGCTTTGCCTTGGGAAACACTGAGATTCTCAGGAAACAAAATTAACCAATTTTTTTTAAGAGACCTGTCATTGAATGATTTGCCATACAGCACAAGAAAGACCTTACAAGAATTATTGACTAGCTGTTCAGTGTTCAATGTTAACATTCATTTGAAATTTTTATTCAATGACATTACAAACCTTAGCCTACATTTAGCGGTGCCCTTCCCCTCCCAAG